ATACTCTTGTCAAAGGGAGCCGGGGTTAGGGAACGAAGGACAGCAATACACAATACACTTAACACCCTAACAAAGCCTATGGATAGACTGTTGGTCCCACTAGTTTTCTAGTTGAAAAGGAACTTAATCACACTGAAGTATCTCTGTACAGGCAAGTTCTTAGAAGACTATAAAACAGCATTAGCAACTGCATTGCAACACTCTCTCACAGGATCCCCGTGCAAAACAGTGAGATGGTGGCTCAGTGGCTAAAGATGCACACTTTCCCACACAGGCCTGGTCACCTGAATTCAATCCCTGGAATCCATGTAAGAGTGGAAAGAGAAAACAAAGTCGTTCTTTGATCTCCACACATATATGCACACTCAGAGAACAAAAATAAATTTTTTATTTTGGTTTTTTGAGACAAGGTTTCTTTGTAACTTTGGAGCCTGTTCTGGAACTAGCTCTTGTAGACCAGGGTGGCCTCAAACTCACAGAGACCCGCCTGCCTATACCTCCTGAGTGCTGGGATTAAAGGCGTGCACCACCACCACCCAGCAAAAAATAAATTTTTAAAAAATTCAGAAATTAGAAACCACACAGTGAAAGGTTAACAGTTTAAAAATTAAATTGATAAAGCTATAAACAGTAAGTTTAATGAAAACAACAAGGATCAGAAATCCAATGGAAAATCAAATTATTTTTGAGACAAAAGATGTTGTAACCCAATATCCTTTCTGAAGGAATCCTCTGTAGGAATCCATATTATATACCTGATAGGTGAGAAGTTTTGTATTGGTGCCAAATGTCCCAGGACAGACCACCTAAGGGAAAAAAGGTACTAGAGACTACAATAAAAATCTTTTGAAAAAAAAAATCTGTGTTAATGTTCACATGTGATTAGAGGCACATGTGCCACAGAATATATGTGGACATCAGGACAACCTTAGGCCTTGGTCCTTGCCTCTTATCTTGTTTGAGGCAGTCTCTTGTTTTGCCATGAACACCAAGTTTGCCAGCTTCTGGAAATCCTACCAATTCTGCCTCCTACCTCCATGTAAGAGCACTGGGATTATAGATTCACCCCACTTCACATGGCTTTATATGGGTTATGGAGAGTTGAATTTAGGTCCTCAAGTTTCTATGGCAAATGCTTTTGCCCACTGAATCATATCCCCAGTTCAATTGCAGTAAATTCTAATTGCTTTAGTCTGAGGTAACAAATACAGTATCTTAGCGAGCCTTAAAAACAGACTTGGAGCCCGGCAATGGTGGTGCACACCTTTAATCCCAGCACTTCGGAAGCAGAGACAGGCGGATCTCAGTGAGTTTGAGGCCAGCCTGGTCTACAAAACGAGTTCCAGGACAGCCCAGACTGTTACACAGAGAAACCCTGTCTCAAAAAACCAAAAACAAACAAACAAACAAAAACCCCAACAACACCTCCCCCCAAAAAAAACTTGACTTGGAAGGTTATTAATATGAAATTCATAGACATCTGTAGCTACAAATAATGACAAAGCAGTAAGGACTGAATAAAGGAGCTCTATTTCTCGTGAGGAAGGGTGGAGTTGGGGTCATATTTTGAGAATACTGCATTCAGTGAACAAAGGAGAGGAAACTTAATTCTTTAGGAGGTAGAAGTAAGAAAAAACCAACTCTGAAACATAAACTGCAGAGTAATAATACACTTGCTGAGTAAGAAATGTTAAACCTTCTAATTGAAGTGTACAGGACCTGTGAAATTATGCCTGGATGCTGTAATTTCAAGCAGGGGGAAAGCTTCATGCAGAAGTCATTCCTTACTGAATTCTTACATCAACTTTTTGTTATTTAAATATTTTCTATTTCTCAAAAGCTCAGACAAAAAAAGGCAGGTAAGCAGGGTGTGGAGAGGTGGCTCCGCAGCAGATCACACACTGCTCTTGCAGAAGCCCCAGCACCCATGTTGCTTGGCTCACCATGCCTGTAACTCCAGCTCTAGGAGGAAAATACACACTCTTTTGCTCCACTAAAAATTTCCTAAGGGCTGTGGCCCAGGTTTTGGCATTCACTACTTCCTGACTATTCAGCTTTTCAATTTTTAAATTTGAATACCAGAAAAAAAAATCCATCCAACTCAATGGCAAATGCCTTGAAAATGCCAAAAGCAAGGAGGAGGAGGAAGGAGGAAGAAGAAGAGGAGGAGGAGGAGGAAGAGGAGGAGGAGGAAGAAGAAGAAGAAGAAGAAGAAGAAGAAGAAGAAGAAGAAGCAGCAGCAGCAGCAGCAGCAGCAGCACCACCACCACCACCACCACCACTCAAATGACTGAAATTGATTAATTGATTACTGGTTCAGTTGGTCATTGGTGGTGCCCGCCTTACACTTAGAATCTCGTGATGAATATTAAGTTTTACTTTACAAGGATCTGACCCTAAAATACAGAAAAATTCCCATTTACTATTTTGTAATAGAGATCACCATTTTCAAGAATTCCTAATAGGCCTGGAGAGATAGTTCAGTGCCTAAGAGCACCCAAGTTTTGTTCCTAGCAGCAACAGGCTCACAATTGCCTAATAAAACTCCAGAGGATCAGCACCTGTAGCTCCAGAGGCACCCTCTTACCTTCCACATACACATAATTACAAACATTAAAAATAAAATCCTTTTAAAATTTGTTTACCAAATTTTCTAAGCGATTCTTAATAATATTTTAAAGCTGCACAGATTTTAGAGTATCAAAGAAAGTTGTATTCTAAAACCTTCAAGGTGATTCTCCATCATAAATTCAATTTCACTGGATAAGGTGTTGCACACCTTTAATCTCAGCACTCTGGAGGCAGAGGCAGGTGATCTTTTTGAGTTCCAGGCCAGCCAGAGTTACATAAGGAGACCTTGTCTCAAAAAAACCCCCAAAAAAAACAAACCTAGGTACGGTACACACCTGCAATCCCAGCACTCAGGAGGCTTAGGCAGGAGGACCACCGGTTTCAGGTCAGTTTAAGAATACGTAGTAAGACCTTGTCTCAAAAAAAAAAAAAATTCATTTTATCAGAAAAAAGTTAGAAAAAATATTATATAATCCTTGAACACGAATTTAATCTCCATGAGTTTAAACAGATTGTTGTAAGTACACTTCAGAAACACAGCTACTGTTACTAACCTTGCTAATCATACTTCAGAGCTGAGAGAATTGCTTGTTCCCTATTCAGTACAGAAAAACACACTATTATGTACAATGCTAAAGCTTTTTGTTCCCCTTGATACTAAAAGAAGCTATTTAGCTGACTAAGCATAAAAATCTACATAGGCCATGATGGAATACTTTATATAATCAATAGCTTAAAAACATTGAGTCTAGAAAAAAAATCAAAGTCCTGTTTAAAAAAAAAAAAGCAAAAAGCAGAACTTACAAAGATATTTAAGCAGAAGCCCCACACACTATGTATCTGGGAAAGCAGGATGCTCACAAAGTCACCACAGTAAACAAAACAAAACAGCAAATGTGAAATGTGAGATTAAAGGCAGGAAATCCAGGCCAACTTTTCTTTTAAAGCCTATTTTTAAAAGGCAACAACAACAACAAAACACAAATAAATTCCTAAATTCTGGGACACCGGCCCTAACAAAACAGCTCTAACAAGTACCACTAAAACCAAGGTTTGTGAAGTGTCACGTACTGACATAGGCTCTTATCTTATTATTGTAACCCATAATAACAGGGATCTACAAAGCAAGTTATCATCCCAAGAAGTGCAAACTCTACAGAAAGTGAAAAATCAAAAGAAGTGCCTTGTAATCTATACTCTGTGGGTACCACAGGCAGAATTCGTGGAAGGCAAACCACAGGCTTATTTACAAATTACAATCCAGGGAGCCAGCAGAGCGTTAACTACCTGTAGCCATCCTAAGGCCAGGAATTCAGACAAGAAGTGCGCCTACAATATCGAGAACAAATTTCTTGGAGAAAAACTTCCCGAAGGAAGTGCTAGCTCCTACCAGCACCAAGAGAAGTTGAAAGTAAATTAAAACTCCGCAAACAAAACCTGGAAACCTCTTCATGTCAAGGAAGCAGGGCTTGAAATCAGGATTTAGACTAACATCACCTAAGAAGCTGTAACCCTTGAAGCATTCAGTAAGGTGTGGTTCTCAGAGCGCTATAGGAAGTCGGCACCTGCATTTATGCTAATCTCTCACATCAACTATCTTACAGATTAGAAAACACTTTATTTCGCAACAGCAATCCGTCTGCATTACCAGACTTTCACACACAGCGTTGATTATTTAAGCTGTTAAGTCACTTCAACCAAAGGCAAGCAGATGATAAGTGAGGGACCTGGGAGACTACGGGACACTACTCCAGGCGATAACAGACGCTGCCAACTTTGAAAAGTTCAAAGTACAACACTCCAGGGGACACAGCCTCACTCAGACGTCTACACAAGACTTCCTCAGCGGTTCAGCCCGGCAGCTCTACCTAGGTCTCCTGTGAGAACGGGGAGAGCGAGGCAGACAGCAGGCAGGAAGCGATGCCAAATCTGGAGGCTCGCTGGGGGTGCTGGTGGACGACTCCCGCGTCCCACTCTGGCGCTGAGCCCAGAGGCAGCAGAATCCTTCGTCTAGGACACCTGGTCAGTCACCAGAGAGAGGGAAGAACCCTGCCTATTCCCGTTTCCGCTTACTATCCCGAACTCTGGCTTTCCAATGGAAAGAGCTGCCCAGAAATCTTGCCTCCCCGGGCTTTTACCCAAATTTTAGCTCAGGCCTCGAGAACAGGAGAATCCGCTAGGTCTGGCTCCTGCCTCCAGCCTCTCGGTACGGCGTGGAACTCTCCCCAGCCTCTCTCCACCACGTCGAACCCTCCACCCCTGGCACCACCAGACCTCCCCAGGGGAAGTCTGCTCCCCGCTGAAAAGCAAACTCCCTAAAAGGGATCCCCCGCCCACGGCGTGCGCCCCTCGACCCCTTCTGCTCTGAGCAGTCTGGACGGAGCGTTCCCCCACGTCGGGAGCCTCCCCAGGGGGTACCTGCCTCTCACCTGGGCCCGCTTAGCCGCAGTCTCGTCGGAAGGGTGACCCCAGGACCTCCTCCAGGCAAGATCCCCCCAAAGGGAAACACCCTCTTCCAGGAACCGCTTCAGGCGCCTCCAGCGCGGGCCTCGGCGGAGAACGTGCCGGCTGCTTCCCAGGCTCTGCCAAGCGCCACCCTCTCCCAGACCCCTGCCCGGAGCTGGCCGCGGCCCCAGTCCGCTCTCTCCGACCCAGGCTCTAGCGGCTGCTCCCTTCCCTCACAGACGTCCCTAGCCTGTAGGCTCCCTCCCCGGCCACGTCCCCCAAGGCCTTCCCAGAGCAGCGAGGTTGGGCTGTGGCACTGACTTCCACTAGCTCCCGGGCCCACCGGAGGGAGGGAACAGCGACAACGGCGCGACTCCTTTGTGACAGGTCCAAGAGAGCGGTAAAGATGGACGCGAGGACACGGCACAGCCATTACGCGCAGGGCCCACCCCCGCTTCGCACCGCCCGGGCCCTCCCTCAGTCCCCTAGGAAACGCCCCTTCCTCGGTGGCAAGCCATCTCTCTCCGGGAGCCAATCATCGCCCACGGCTCGTGTCACGTGAGCCCGCGGTTCGGCCCGCCACCCTGGAATGAACCGGCTAATCCCCTTGCCGAAGGGCGAACGGCCCAATCAAATCTCTCCATCCGGTGTTGGAGCACCGGATTTCCACGAGGCGCTCGGGGGCGGGAGGCCGCCGTTGATTGGTCTGCGCCGCCGGAAGCGGGGAGGAAATTTGTTGTGGCGGTGAGGAAGAGGAAGCCCCGAAGGGTCAAAAGGAATACAAAAGCAAAGTCTGCTCGCTTGCTTTAAACCGTTGTTCTTTCAGTCTTTCTGACCTATTTTTTTAAGAGCGAGCGGCCTTGTCGGCGGCGGTTTGAGTTAGACGCCACGGAGGTGAGGGAGGCTCTCCTCCCGCGCTCTGGGAGGTGAGTGTGGCCTGGGTCCGCGCCGGGAGGCGAAACCAGGCTTCTTAGCCGAGGCGAGGGTGAACTACGGCCGGAGTTAGGGTTAGGGCCCAGACTCGTCTTCAGTCCGCGTTCTTGCCCGTGCCCGGTATCCTGAGGCTCCTGGGCTGGGAGTTTGTGGTGGCCACCCTGAGCGGAGCCGCGAGAGCCTGCGGGCGGCGTGGGGATCGAGGTGGGAGGTTCCGACCCTCTCTCTCTCTTGCTCGCCGGGCCTCTTGCTGCTTTCAGCCCTTTTCTGCTGGCTGAAGTTATCCAGGCCTCAAGTAAGCAGCCGCCTGTGTTGCACTCGGAACCGCTCCACGCTCCTTAGAAAACGTGGCATGCCCGATTGAGAGTCGTTGAATCCCAGAGTGTAGTTGCGGGATGGGAAGCACATTTGTTACGTGTTGTTGCCATGTCCCAATCGCTGTGCCCCGCACATTCCTTCGGATAGGAAACAAGGCGGTGTGCCTATTAGAACTACGACCGATAGTTGGGATGTCTTATTTGAGAGTCGGTGCCCTTTGGAATGTCAGTCCACGGAGAGGGAAGGGGCGACCTATTGTTCGTGGAAGTGCTTCTTAGAGGAAAACACGATTTTAAAATACAGGTCTTGTACCTCACCCCTTAGTCTGATTGGTTAAGTCTATAGAGTAGGAGCCACGAAAGGCTAATATGAATCTGTGGTTTAGGATTTACGGCGACTTCTTGTATGTAAACCTGTGAGACAGGTTTCGTTGGTTACATTAATCGATTTATTGATGTGTCCCCAGAAACACCATTTGGAGGAGCTCAACATGACAATCCTGAAATCCAATGTCCATGGAGGTTGGGGGAGGAGGGTCGGGGTTGGGGGTCTGTCAGTTGGAGTCTAGCCTGGCCTACATCAAGACTGTCAGGAACCAAAGCAGGATAAACGAACAAACTAATAAAATGGTTTGGAGGATACTGCTTCTGAAATATTTGAAAGGAATCTGGTTAGCTCTCCATGTTAGAAGGGATTGAGTTGAAATAAAGGCAGCTTGTGTATTTCGATTTGATCCTAAGATGAGCTGTGAATAATGCCTACGGGTTTGAAAGTAGGACAGCCCAATTACCGTTTGAAGTTGAAGTCTTAATGCCTTTAAGAGGAAATTCTGGTTTCTTTTTTGTTTGTTTTTGTTTTTTCAAGACAGGGTTGCTCTGTGTAACTGTCCTGGCTGTCCTGAAACTAGCTCTTGTAGTAGACCAGGCTGGCCTTGAACTCACAGAGATCCACCTGTCTCTGCCTCCCTAGTGCTGGCGCCACCACCACCTGGCCAAAATTCTGGTTTCTAAAACGGAAGAATTATGTGGAAACCATTTACCTGGCTGTCACCCTTCATTGTCACCATCCAGGGATCTGAAAGTTTGCTTAGAGGCAGTCTTCTGCCTCAGAAATTGAAAGCCACCCATATTTTGACAGTGAAATAATTTAACAGCATGGTTCAACTGTAAGCTTGGTTACAGTGTAAGGTGCCTTTAGGGCAGTAAGCTTGAGCAGTTTTCGTGTGTTCATCTTTTTGACATACGTGTCTTCACTCTTAAGTGTGATCACTTTCATCCAGAAGTGCTTTTAAGAGTGTTTGCCTTTGTTTTGTGTTTTCAGGTATAATGTTTCAAACTGCGAGTTGTGTTCTTTCACTTGTCTTCCTATTTGGCTTTTTTTTTCCAGTTTTAGAACCAAAGAACGTATTTGACTTTTTTGATTGTTGTTTTTAGACAGTCATGTACCCAGGCTTGGATTTGAAATGGATGGAAAAATGATCTTGATCTCCTGATTTTTATCTGTCAAGTGTTGAAATTACAGGTGTATGCTTTTACATTTGGCAGTGTTAAGTAGGCCTTTGACCTTACTTAGTCTGTAAAGTTCTAGTCATTTTCACCCTATATCCCCATGAAGCAGTCTTTGTTTGTTTGCTTTTTTTTTTTTTTTTAAAGTCAGGGTCTTGCTCTGTGGCCCCAGGCTGGCCCAGAACTCAAGATCTTTCTGCCTGATTCTCCTTCTAGAGGGGTAATTTCTTCATTGATTCTCTTCTGTTCCTACACTTTCGTTAAGCACTAGTATCCTTTTCATTTTGTTTTGTTTGTTTTTGGTTTTTGAAACAGGGTCTCGTTATTCAGTCCATGCTGTCCTGTAATTGGCTATATAAACCAAGCAGGCCAGGAACTCAGAGATTCCCCTGCCTGCCCCTCCCTCCTGCTGGGAATAAAAGAGTGCATGACTGTGCCCCTCTTACACACTAAATTCCATTATTGCAGTTTTTAAAGATTTACTTATGTATTATGTATACAGTGTTCTGCCTGCATGTGTCCTTGCAGGCTGGAAGATGGTACCAGACCTCATAACAGGTGCTTGTAAGCCACAATATGCTTGCTGGGAATTGAACTCAGGGCCTCTGGAAGAGCAGTCAGTGCTCTTGACCGCTGAGCCACCTCTCCAGCCCTATTGCTGTTTTTAGTTCCTGAAGTTTTTGTTTTGTCACTTTAAAGAAAGTTTCATATTTTTTTGTTATTCATTTCAAGGCTTGATTTTGGCAGCGGGGGGGGGGGAGCTTTCAAGACAGAGTTTTTCTGTGTAGCTTTGGAGCCTATCCTGGAACTTGCTCTGTACACCAGGCTGGCCTCGAACTCACAGAGATCCGCCTGCCTCTGTCTCCTAAGTGCTGGGATTAAAGGTGTGCGCCATCACCACCCCGCATGATTTTTATTTTAAATATTATAAGCATATTTGTTGTGTGATTCGTGTATTTAATTCCCATGGATCTGTTTCTCTTGCTGTTTTCTTTCCTCTTTCCCTTTCCTTTCAAGGTGTAGTTCTTTGGGTACCGGATTAAGATGGGGCGGGCAATGGTTATCAACAGACCCAGGAGCAGGCTTTGGCTGTTCTGTTGCCTCATCACAGTACAACTGTAGTCAGTCATTGAGGTCAGAGAAATCCTCAGACTGAAGGAACTACTTGAGTCTTGGATTTAATTTCTGGTTTTCACCTTACAGATTTTGTCCAAAGTCTTTGCCATATTTTTTTTTTTTTTTTTTTTTTTTTTTGGATTTTCGAGACAGGGTTTCTCCGTAGCTTTTTGGTTCCTGTCCTGGAACTAGCTATTCTAGACCAGGCTGGCCTCGAACTCACAGAGATCTGCCTGCCTCTGCCTCCTGAGTGCTGGGATTAAAGGTGTGAGCCACCACCGCCCGGCTTATTTTTGCCTTTTTGATTTAACTGTTGTTTAGTTTACTTTTGTATGTGATGTGTTTGATATGTATGTGTGTGCACGTATTTGTGTATGTGTATGTGTTGATTTACACGCCACATTGCATGTTAAAGGGCAACTTTGAGTGTTAGTCCTTCTACCTTTTATTTTGATTCTAAGATTTATTTTAGATTTGTGTGTATGTGTGTATAGTTATGTATGTATGTGTACCATGTGTGTGCAGGTGCATGAGGAAGCCAGAAGAGGGGGCATGAGATCCCCTGGTGCTCGTGTTATAACTATCATGAGCCTGTGTTGTGCCTGGAACTGAACTCATCCTGTGGAAAAGCAGCAGCACGCTCTATTAACTGCTGAGCCATCTCTCCTGACCTTGACTTCCATCTTGTTGGCTACGTGGTCTCTAGTTGTTTACTACTGCATTTATCTGGCTTGCTGGCCCACAGCTCCCGGGGATTTTCCTGTCTCTGCTTCCTATATCCAGGAAGGAGCATTGGGATTGTAGGAGTGTCCTGCATTTATGGGGGTTCTGGAGCTTCAAACTTTAATTTCCATGCTTACTTGACAAACATTTTATCCATTGAACCATCTTTCATCTTTCAGCCCTTATTATTATTATTATTGCATTCCCAGTGTTTTAAGTATAAAGTAGAGGACAGGTAATAGTATTTAGTCCATCTTCTCCAGAGATGAAATCTTTTCACTGACTGGATCTCATATTGGAATGAGAAGTTTGTGATTTCCTCTTAAGTCAAAGATGCTATTCTACGTAAAATGTTCAGTATTTTCACTACTCAGTGTCACAGCAGCTCTGAGTTAGGCTTCCCTGGTACCTCATTCTAGTCTGCCTGAGAGCTTAGTGCTTAAGCTCGGCATGGTGGCTCACTCCTTTGATCCCAGTACTCAGGAGGCAGAGGCAGGCGGATCTGAGAGTTCGAGACCAGCTTGTTCTACAGAATGAGGACAAGCCAGGGCTGCACAGAGAAACCCTGTCTCAAACCAGCAAAGAGGGGGAGGGGAATACCTAGTGCTTAGCTTCTCCTATGGCAGTAACTGTGTCCTACTTCTCCTTACATTGTTGTGTGCCACATTTGTTACGTTAGTGCCTTGAGAAGTGCCTTGAGAAGATCTTCCGTTAGGAAAAAGCAGGCTTGCATGGAGAGTGGTGGGCTTTATTCAGAGATAGGGAGATCTCTGAGTTTGAAGCCAGTTTGGATTGTTTATCAAGTTCCAGGCCAGCCAAAGTTACATAGTGAGACTCTGTCTCAAACAAAACAAAACAAAACACAAAACAACCCTTAAAAACTGGCTTGGTTAGCTTTTGCCATTAGTATTGCACAGGCCAATTCCTTTTTTTAGTTTGATTGTAGTTTTAAGGATGGGTGTGCAGAAGATGGGGTTGGCTTTGGTCTAAAGACAACCCAGTTGCCAAAATAGTTTAGGAAAAAAAAGCTACCCTTGACCATTTCTTAGAAAGGCACCATGTTGAAGACTAATGATGAAAAATTTTAATGTAGTTGTGTCTTCTTCCCAATGTGGGAGGGGGGACTGGGCTGGGGTGTCAGGACCAAAAGGTACTGGTGTTTTGATTTCCCTGAGTTCCAGAGGAGCGATCGCTTTGCATGTAGCTAAATACATGAAAAATGAGACTCACACATGGGATTGTTTTTATTCTGAGAGTTAAGTGTGAAGTAGAGTGCTGAACACCAGCTAAAGGGCAAATATTCCATTAGTTTTCCTTTTTCCTTGAGTGTA